CTAATACTGAACTACAGGTTCCTTTTCGAAATAGGCACTTGAAAGATGTGGCTGGGTCAAACATATCGATGAACTCTGAAACCCGCTTTGACTTGGGACAGAGATGTTATGCTACAAAACAAAACCCCGTTAAACATGTTTGTTGTCGATTTTAAATTAATTTACACAATGGCTACCATTATTTTTATATGTTTTTTACGTTATTCTTAATTGAGATCAGTTTTATCCAAACATCTTTATAAAAAGCAAAATCTATATACGGTAATTTTTAGCTGAGAGAGTTGGAACGGTTACATCAGTTTTACACTCTCCTAAATGTGACTGGGCAATTTAACAATTCCCATTCCGCATTTTGGCTAGACCAATTTTACCCAGTCTTAGTTGTGTGTACTGTTTGTCGTTTTGTAGTTGTTTGCTCCGTCAGTTAGTTATTGACTTTTGAATTTGAAAATCCCTGTGGTTTCTTTTGCCTTTCAATCTTAGTTTCACCAACTAGCCTATTCAACCCTGTATTTACACAATTTCTAGTAGATATATAGCTTTGATTTTTACACCTTTTATTGTCGTAGTTAACATCAAAAGGAACACTCCTCTGCCATTTAGAATTTAAAATTGGAGGTCTTATTACAATCTATGAGGCCAGCACAAAACAGGAAACATTAACTTGGTCTTCACTCCAAAGGTAATGAAATCTCGTCGGAAATCGTCTGAGTGTCGGTCACCTTTTATAATCATCGTGAACAAGAGACTCCTTTGCTTCTAACTGTAAATCTTGGCACTAGTCGAGCTTAAGAATGTACCTGTTCCACAAGAATTACTGAAAACAATAGTTTATTGGTATTGAATTCTACCTTTCTAGAGAGATTTTAGCTGCAAAACGTAGGAAACTAAAGGTGTAGGGAAAATGCAACAAACAATACAAGACTCGCGAATTACCATCTGATCAAATATACATGCTCTACGACAAAGGTCAATTTGAAACAGTAAGCAGAACAATCATAACGAATATACAATTAATGAAAAGGATATGCATTCCCGGAAGTAACCATAGAGACATTAAACACTAACAAGTCGAAAAGATACTGATGACGAAAAATCAAACAATTTCACAAACGATCACATAAAAAACTAAAGATTTATCAACTATAAAACTGTTGGATAAGCTTCAATTCAAAAAATCTGACTACCACATGCAACTAAAGAATAGTAAAACATGAACTCAGATAACACCACCCACATCATGAAAAAAGCAATTTGTATGTTTGCTAATTTGAAGTGCTTAATTTCTGCATGGGACGTCTATGTTTTTAACATTCCTGGAACATCCTAAAATATTTCTTTTGATAGCGTGTGTATGGATAATTAAGAAAGAAATAAAAGCAGATGCAAATGTAGTCAACTTTTTCATCTCTATACAATGAAACGTGTTTGTTGTTCAACTGGGTATTAATAAATATTGCTGAATTAAAATAACGAAATGAAATCATGTATGAGCTGTTACCATATCCTTATTGAAGTATATGATAAATAGGTTGCTATTTAATATTCTCTAAATTAAACCTTGTGTCAACCCTTAACGACCCATAACAGCATTCTGTTCAAAGGCCCTGTGTCCAATGTGTCTGTCTATGTTGTGATGTTACACTATTGTTTCAGGTAGGTTGAAGGTTAGCACCTATTAAAACGTTTAAACCCGCTGCATTTGTTTGCACTTGTCCTAAGTCAGGAACCTGATGTTCAGTGGTTGTGATTTGTTGATGTGGTTTATAAGCGTTTTTCGTTTCTCGTTTTTTATATACATTAGACCGTTGGTTTTCCTGTTTGAATGGTTTTACACTAGTAATTTTTGGGGCCCTTTATAGCTTGCTGTTCGGTGTGAGCCAAGGCTCCGCGTTGAAGGCCGTACTTTGACCTATAACGGTTAACTATTACAAATTGTGACTTGGATGGATAGTTGTCTCATTGGCACTCATACCACATCTTCTTATATCTATCTATGTCTAACTGATATGAGGTGTGATATGAGAAAATGCTATGTAACAACTTATAAACAGTTACACACTCATTACTGTAGCCGATTGTTGCTAAAAGAGGCGAAGGGATACCACAAGGATATTTTCAATTAATAACTAGAAACAAACTGACAATGCCATGTCAAAACCTAATCACCCTTAAAAGAAAAATAACAGTTTACAAAACACAACATACAAAACTAAAGATTTAGCAAAACAAACCAAACCAAAAAAAAAAACATTTTGTTTTTGTGTGTTCCAGAAGAGGAAGAAAACTATGCTCATTATTTAACGCCCTACGTATTACTTCTATAAACTATGCTGAAATTTGTTCCAATAAAATGACATACGTACGTAATTTAACATGTAACGCGACGTATGCACCTAATGGGACTAATTATTGCCAACCATTGAATTTGGTTAAATACGTTGCTCAAGTTTAAACAAAGTATTCCAAGACTGTTTAAACCAAACATTGGCATTTTCGTTCATATAAAATAATTATTACGCGATGTGAAAGGAAATATTTTTTTATGTATTACGTGGTTACTCCAGATTCCTGTCTAAATGTTCTGTGTCATAAGATCTCGATTTTATACATAGGGAACCCTTACCTATTGAACGAATGATTTGGGTAATTCTGACAATTATTCTACATTTCACATGCTTATTATTTTCTTCTTTATCGGATGTTCCTTGAATCCTTCTATTTTTCATCCTGCTTACAACAACTGCAATGGAATATTCTATAAATGTATATTTTTAGACATGTCCATCAACTTGATATACAACTAAAATGATCCTGCTTGACAAGCCTGTAATGAAATAGTTTATTCAAGTATATGTTAGACGTATTCATATAAACAAAGGCAACAGTAGTATTCCGGTGTTCAAAGTTCTAAGTTAAACGTCAAATATGTCATTAAAACAATGTGAGTAATGTCATTAATGTATACATAAAGACTGTCCAATGAACCCGTTTAAAAAGTAAAACAACTATTGATTAGGTAACGTGTAATTAATTTTCATCTTCATAAATTCTATTCTCTAAAATCCCTCGAAAAAAATCGAAAAGTATACTATCTGATAGAATCATCAGTAATGTTAATTTCTACCTCAGACAAATGTCTATTGTAATTGTAAATGCAATTTGTTAAAGAAGTATGGCGTATATACCTTTTACGTTCGGCATGTTTGGAAACTCACCTTTTCACCTTACAACTTATTAAAACAAAAAAAAGAATATCATCTGGCTTCAGATTTCGTTAGTTTTATTTTTTCGAAATAATGATTTTTTCTGATCTTTATGTATCCTGTATATAGAAAACTTGGTAGATGTCTAATTTGTATTTTCATGAAATGGTAAACATCAATTTAACAGCATTAAGAATTCTAACCGATGTCCACGTGTTACTAATTGCCATGATAAAATCGAGAAAAATAGAGAACATTGGTTAATAATAAGACCTACAAAATAAAATGTCGACGATGACATTTTGAAAATCTGTAAACGAATCTCTCGGCCTTCAAATTTTACGTTTGATATATTACATTGTCAAATTTGCCCAATTCAAATTGTTTTACATTGTGCAATAGACAGTTTGACTTAAAAAATGCGTATTGCGTTCAGCCTCTCGATTTAATTTAAAATCAGACCTCAATTAGAAATACATATGAATGTTACATTTTTACGAATTACGCAGCTGTCTCATTGGCACTCATAGCACATCATCTTATATCTATCTATGTCTAACTGATATGAGGTGTGATATGAGAAAATGCTATGTAACAACTTATAAACAGTTACAATTAAATGAACTTGGATGGAGAGTTGTCTCATTGGCACTCATACCACATCTTCTTATATCTACACACTCATTACTCCAGCCGATTGTAGCTAAGAGAGGCGAAGGTATACCACAAGGATATTTTCAATTAATAATTAGAAAACAAACTGACAATGCCATGTCAAAAACTAATCACTTTTAAAAGAAAAATAACAGTTTACAAAACACAACATACAAAACTAAAGATTTAGCTGTGTTGTATTTTGTATTTGTTGTTTGTCTTTTGGTTCTTTTCTTTCCTTTTATTTTCGCCACTGCGTTGTCAGTATTTTTTTGACTTATGAGTTTAATGTGCCTTTTTTTATATTTTGACTGTCTGTTTTATTTGTGTTTAAATATTGCTTAAGTGTATAATGCATTTCCTAAATATTCACCAATATAGGTTCACGTTTGCTAACCCATTGTTGTCAATATGATGGAATTATCTATAAATGATAGGTTTATCTAGCTATAAAACCAGGTTTAATCAACCATTTTTTTACATCATGAAAGGCCTGTACAAAGTCAGGATTGTGATAGTTGTTTCCATTCGTGTAAAGTGCTTGAGCTTTTGATTTTGCCATTTGATTAAAGACTTTCAGTTTTGAATTTTCCTTGGAGTTATTTTTGCTTTTTTTACTATATGCAATGCACTATTTCGAAATCAAACAATAACGACACGTTATTTTCAGTAAGAAATACGAACAATTAAAAATATAAAGTTTATTAGTTACATGCAGTATGCAACCGTATATTTTTCGGATAATCACAACACCAAATTGGCCACTGGTCAAAGTATTCAATTTGGTAAAGGTATAGTATGTTAGTAATACTATGTACTTATGACAATATGCTGACAAACAATGGGTATGCACTATCTTAATGTATATAAAGTACATTATTCATGTTATTGAAAATTACACAAATTAAGCAATCCTAAGTTGTAATACTTTCATTCAGATACATATTTCAAATTATATTTTTGGTGTTTAGGAAATGATGTATTTAACCATGGATACGTCGTTATCGTTTTCTATTTTGTTCCGCACGGAACACTTAAACATCGATTAATAATTTCCGATATCAATTGTTTTTTTTTATAATTGAATTACGGAAATATTATTTGATTGGATAGGTTGGAAATTGTTTTATGAATTATTTTTGTACATCCCTAAATAACAAATCAGGAAGATAAAGTAAACACCATAGCATCAGGTATTTCTTCATTTATTTCGTTGTCGACAGCATTATATGTGGTCTTAATATCATATTATGTTTTGTTACACGTAATTATTTAAGTACTGAAGTCTGAGAACACAGACAATTTAAATCGGGTACGTGATTATCAGAAAATCCAATGAAAATGTTGGAATGAGGTCTGTTTAAATTAATGTTTCAAGTATACACTATATTTGTTTTGTATTTTAAATTTTTACTGAATAAACATAAAAAGGGTGATAACAAAAATATCAAAATTCTAGATATATTCGAAAAGGGAGAAGTCGATATGCCTGATTTGGTACTGGCAAAATCAACTGGTGGTTTCAACATAGTTCTGTAGTTTGCTAAACCTGCCACTTGTATGGCAATTGTTTATAATTTTGATTCAGACAAAAGCAACCACACTTACTCTAGACACAATTGGTTAACGGAGTAATAATTATGACTCAGCAGTCAAACTGTATTGACATACATGAGAGACATACAACATAATTGACCTTAAGAATACAAACAAACATACAAATAAATCTACAGTGAAGACAACAATTTGTTTTTGAAGTTGATAGTACATAAAGTATAGTAAAACATAATGACATATACACTTTCCCGAAAAAGGACTAATTTAATACAACATATATACAAGAGTATGTAAAACTAAAACAACACTTTAAAAAACACATGCGTCCGACTTGAACATCTGAATCCACACGCATCTGGAACACTCAAAACTTATATCCCATCACTACTATATATAATTTCATTACAGAAATGTCTTTTGGTAGCTGTGCTTTAAAGATTCTAGTAATATGTTTACTTTGTTCCTTAGGTAAGTTGTACTGTGTGTGAATAGACTGATTTTAACCCTTAGCGTATCCGTACCATACTGACATATGCGGTCATATATCAGTGCATATCTTTAAGATTTGTTTTCATGGTGAGATGAACAGTTGAATAGATATAGACATTTTGACATCCATCGTTATGTCATACCATTGAAGTTTATTGATAATATACAAAGTTGATAGATGTTTATTCCCAAATGTTGCAAATAGAAGATGGCCAAACAATCCTAGATTGAACGGACTTTTTGAAAGGCAAAAATATCTGACAAATAGACACATCACTATAACAGTTTTTATTCAACAGAACATTCTACAAGGCGAAGTATGGCGATAGAACAATAGAGTTCTTTTTAAAAAAAATCCCATCTAGGTGTATAGGGAGATATAACTACACCTTTATCTAAAATATATATATATTCATAACATTGGTTGCAATGAATTACCGTGACTCTCAAATGAAGTAAAAACCGATAACTTCACATGAGCATTAAATGCGATAATTTCACCCCTTTGACGTCATACAACAATGGGTGTTATCGAGACGATATCGATGACGTTGCATCAACACAAATTAAGAAATAGTAAAAAAAAATAGTTCTTTCCCTTTTCTACTTAATTTCATTAAAAATATTGGTTGTAATGAATTACCGTGCTTTTCAAGTGAAGTAAAAACCGATAATTTCACATGTGAATTAAATGCGTTAATTTCACTCCTTTGACGTCATACAACAATGGGTGTTATCAAGACGATATCGATGACGTTGCATCAACACAAATTAAGAAATAGTAGAAAAAATAGTTTCTTCCCTTTTCTACTTTATTTCCATTAAAAACTCCATGGTTAATGTAATAAAAAGAATAACTAATACAAGAATTAAAATATCGAAAAATATTCAACTCGTGAACGAACAACACTGAAAATTAACTCATGCTCTACGTGCATTCGTAAATCAATGTGTTGTTCGGTTACTCGTTAAATATTTTTTCTATATTTGAATTGTTGGATTAGTTATTCTACATTTGTTCTATGAATATCTTTATTTGATACGACGAGTTAAATTATGTAGTGTTTTCGTATAATAAAACAACATAACAATTGAGCCGCAATAAACGTATTAATAAATAGTTCAGAACCTCAAAACAATCATTTACACACACACACATACATGTTGACTCGCTCTATTAACTACTCACACTTGAATGTCATTTAAACACAAACCGTAACCTTCAATTCGTGATTCATTCAGAAAACATTCGCCACCATAATATGACGCATTAACAAAACAGCTGGTTCTGGTTGTTACTATAACTTCTTTTACTGAATATATTAAAATCACCATGTCAATCTACCGTAAACAATCGTATGGTGAAATTACTAACAAATATTATTTGTTATGTATTCAGTGAAATGAAATATTTACTATACGCATGCCTCGATGACACATTTCAAATGTGACATAACTAAGGTTGTTTTTTTTCAGATCTTTAAAAAAAAAAATATCTAAGTTACGTAATATGCTGGCTTATTAGCATAGAGCACGTGCGTATAGCAAGAAAAATATGTTTTGCGAGTTTATAGATAACTACATAATCCATGTCCATGGCGAATATTTTATTGGCCGACCGGTGTCATACCAAATCATATGCCTGGTATCTGTGATGATTTTTCTCTACATAATTGTTGCAAATGTATGAGCAATGTAGTCAAAATTTGCTTACGATCACTATTTAAATGAACGAATGGCTGCCCTTTTTTTTAAAGCAGTGACTTATATGAATCAAGTATAGCAAATTTGTCATCACTTATCGATTCCGGTACTTATAAATCTTCTCTAAACATGCTTTAATCCTTTTGTCGTTCTAAATAAGTTGAACACTACCTTCTATTGGTTAAGCGTTTGGTTATTTGCTACTCAAACTCATTTTTTTTTCAAATGATTATAATTATGCTGTATTGATTAGGTTCAACTTCAACATGCCCAAAGGCAAAAGTACAGGGAACAATTATAATGAATGGAAAAACAGTAGTACGCGGAGTCGACGGAAATAATCTCACTATCGTCTGTAATGTCAAAAGTGATAAACCAGCAGAAAAGTTCGTTATGCGTATAAAAGGATTAAAACTGAAGAGAGCTGGAAGTGGAAATTTAACGTTTTCCTTCATACCATCAAAATTAGACAACATGCAATCATTTAGATGTTCTGTCTACAATGCATTTCTAGCTGATCCACGGTCTTGTGAAGTATTGTTGGATATTCAGTGTAAGTAAAGAATTTAGATATTGACGTTATACCGTTTGCACCAAGGACAAATTGATAACGATTTTACCTCATGCATAGTGACTTTCTTCCATAATTTTCATAATTTGGTTTCCAATGTTATTACTTTAATTTTGCACACTATTTATCCACATGTGTACATACATTATTTACAAAATCTTTTCAGATTCTGTTTAAACGGGATTTTGTTCAATCAAATTTGTTAATTAAGGTTAATTTAAAACAAATCTATAAAACCTAAATAAAAATAGTCTAGCGGTCTACTATATCAACCAATGGAAAAAGGCTGATTTGGTAGAGACATTTAATGAAGAAACTGAAACATGAACGCTTTACGAAAGAAAGAAAAAAGGGTCACATTAACAACAATACAGTGTTTTTACAAAAAGCAAAAAAAAAAGTATTTAAGATAAAAACGGTTAGTTAACGCCTGTTCAAACGTTTAAACCCGGTGCATTTTTATGCACCTGTCCTAAGTCATGATTCTGTTGTTCAGTGGTTGTCGTTTTTTGGTGTGGTTCATAAGTGTTTCTCGTTTCTGACTTTTTATATAGATTAGACCGTTGGTTTTCCTGTTTGAATTGTTTTTTCGCTAGTCATTTTGGGGCCCTGTATAGCTTACTGTTCGATGTGAGCCAAGGATCCTTGTTGAAAGCCGTACTTTGAACTATAATTGTCAAATTATCTGTCCTTCCGATTTTGGGCAGCAGTAAACAAAAAAGTATGAACAAAAAAAAATTGATCTCCAAAGTAATTTCAAATGCGGGAAGTCCATAAAACCTGACAAAATCAAACATTAAATATATCAACGAACGGATCGATCCGAAAACAAATTTCATATTTCTGACTTAGTATAGGTCGCATTGTGCAGTTTCCAGTAGGTTTTATATGTATGATATAGGTCGTCTGCAACTATTGTTTTCAGTAGCGTAAATGATAGTTCTTATAAAAATGAGCCCCTGATTGACCATTCCGTGTTTGTCATTCATACTGTTTCCTGAAGTTTTTCAAGCGAGAATTTATTACTATTTGTAAATTGTTTGCGTGTAATAATGATTAATGTTTTTTCTTGTCGCATGTATACATGGTATACATGTATATGCAAATGGTCTCATGATACAAACACTGCAATCAATAACTTTTAGTCATGAACTGCAGAGATACTATGACCGACAGAAAGATGACAAACACATATGTTCACAAAAAGACAAGAATTTCAAGCATTTCATTTAATAAATATATAAGTAACACAATTTTGAAAGGCTAAGATTAGGTTTTATTTCATTCTATGGGGTATTGGAAAAGCTATATAATCTTTGGTATATAAAAGGGAAATAGAAAGCTATATCTTTCCATTTAATGACGAGGTTTACATTTATCATCTTTATAAAGTATACCACTTTTTTTTATAAATACTGTCAAATGGATATTTACAATATAACCAATGATTTGTGTTTTGTTCCACAGATTCACCAGTTGTAAGAATAATAAAGGAAGCATCTAGGAAAATGCAAAAACTTATCTGCAATCCAAACGGAAATCCTGAAAATTATACTTTTGCCGATTGGGAGCACTGGTCTGAATTCAATGAACATATTCGAAATGTTCAAGGGACACCTGACGGTACATTTACTTTGGTGGAATCCAACAATATCAACAAGTTACATGAAAATGATGGCATTTACAAATGCAGAACTTCCAACGGTATATATGGCACAAATGGAAACCTATACCAGAAAGGAACAGTTCTCATAAACGATAGAGGTAATACGTTAATATCAATTTTTCATATGTACCAAACGAATTAATATTGATATCAAATGTTTGATAATTGATTAGTACTGTCCTCTATTTTATTTCATTTAAGCTTTCAGCATGCATCATATTTTTAACACTTCATTTAAAACGTCATTAACGTCCGTAACCCAAAATAATTCATTTAGTACCACTTAATAAGACAAGGAAACACTGTTTGGAGTGTATCAATAAAAGTAGATACAATTTTCATTTGAAAGATGTATATTAAACAGAATGGCACTTTTCAAAATATATACACTGTTGGAACTGTGTTTGTAACTTTAAAGTTACAATCCCTAATTTTAGATATATATGAAAAACCAATCATTCTACATCAAAACATATCAATGTACATATTGTGAAATAGATAATATCGGCAATTTTTGCATTATGGCCTTGTTCTTATTCCTTGATATTTGTATATATCATGGACATGACCTAATAGTCGAAAATATTAGATATGCCATCACGTATGAGTAAAGCAACTCCACTTTTTCATGTCAATCCGTTTCCATTTATGAATGAAATGCACGCGTCCTTATTCATTAAATTCATTATTAAACAAAATTATTTTTAATTAATTTCATTTTAGTTCCACCGATATTTGTGAATGCAAATAAACCAATCCAGTTTGGTCATTACGGTCAGAAGATGAATTTGACAGTACATTTATACAATAAGTATGGCACAATACAAACGACTATATCAAAACTAAACGAGACTTTGAATATAAATGGAAGACAGGAGAGGATTCTAACACAAGACGTGTTCCATGGTGTAGATGTAACAGTATCTGGTATAAAGATAACATTCCAACTGACACTAGATAAAATAGAAGATTTAACAGAATATACAACGAAAGCGTGCAACGAAAAGGGGTGTAATGATTTAACGGTGACGATAAAATTAACATGTAAGTTTATTAGCAAATACCCGTATACGATAAAACTTTAATCATTTCTAAGAATAATGTTTGACCATGTGACCGCTGAAAGAACCAATATCAGAAATATAATAGAACATGTTTTCCGGTAATGATGGACGTTTCTGTCGTCACAGCAGACCTCGTATAAACATTTGTTTTCATCTTGAATATATATTACTCTTCTAAAAGTGTCTGTTTACCAATTTCCGGCATGTCGAAGAATTTAAGTATCCTTCTGAACGGAATACAATACAAAAAAGTTATACTACGAAGGTGTTTATTTTGGTAGATTAAACAAAATGATTTTTTTCCAAACTGGTGTCTAGTTTTAGTCAAATGATGCTACTTTACAACCACATGTGGCAAATAAAACATATTTCGCCATAATAAAATCGGTTTAGCATATACAACTCTCAATCTTAACCCTTGTTATTCATTTTTAAGACTAACAATAATGATAAAAATCCAATGGCTAGCTTTATATCATATCGAAATTGAACAACTCAAGCAATATCAAAATCTCACTTTACCATTCCACATATGCTATTTTAAAAAAGGCAAGGATATGGTGTTGTGATATAAGCCTTTGTACTTTATGTTTACTGTGTAAGCTTAATATTTATTATGTTTCACATTGTTGTGCGCAGAATTACATACTTGATAATGATGGCATTGTTACGTTGTCAACCATGTTCATAATTGATACTCGATCAACATCTGTCATAAATATTAAACGCCATTACTTAATAACATCTTAGGTATATGTCTAAAGAACATTACACACTTGTAGCGATATAAATTGGACTTAACTCGTTGGTTACGTTTTGACACTAATACTGTTAAATTATTCAACGTTTAGTCAAACTTCTTAAGTAACTTAATTTTCCTACAAACGTTTCAATACTGTGCTTCTTTTGTCACGACAAGATTCAAATCTCTTTGTGCATTGTACTTGATTGTTTTTTTATATTAAATTCACTCACATTTGAAAAGAAATAAAGCACGCATTTTTGATACTATTGATATGATTTATTTAAAAAAGATATAATGTATACATGTTTGTAATCAAAAATCAAAAATATGACAAAAATACTGGACATGTGTATTATATTAAATTAGCGTTTATTAATAAGGTTAACAAGATAAATTGAAATGAAATTTTATATAATTAATGAGAGAGAGACAGTGATTCCATATGAAAGACATCTCGCAGTATCATGGAACCCTGAATATAATGACTCATATGCTCAATTGTAATCAAGTGATATACACTTCTCAATTGTTAAGAAACTATCTTTTATGTTATTAACTTGCAATATGAAATGAGTGTCTATGGGTGACACATGTGTGGCAAGATCTACTTACCCCTTCCGAAGCATTTTAGATCACCACCGGTTTTGGGTGGTGTTGCTCAATATTTAGTTTTCTATGTTGTTTTAAGTCTACTGTTGTTTGTCTTTAATTGCCTCTCTTTTGCATCTGTATTACCCTGTGTACTGGATGATACTAGTCTACACGTTTGTACTTTCAAATAAAAAAAAAAACATTTTATAACTTTCAAGCGTCTTGATCTCTTTCCTGGATTAGCCTTCGTCAGGAATGCTCAAACTTAAACATTTATAAGCCTGTAATGTATAAATAGGTTGAAGCGTTGAGACTTTTATGATCAAATAAACTCACTTTAGATACCAGGATTAAAATATTGTATGTCAGGCGCGTGTTTCGTCTAAAGAACGATGCTTGAATAAAAAAGATTAAAAAGGCCAAATAATGTACAAAGTTGAAGAGCATTGCAGACTCACAATTCCGAAAGGTGTTGCGAAAAAGAGATAAGGCAATATATTCTCCCGGGGAAGAAAATAAGTATTTCGAAAAGAACCTATAGAAAATATCCTTATTCATCTCAATTCAATTTTGCCAGGAGGAGTTGGAACCTTAGATTTTTGATAATGTCTTATATCAAAGGGGAATTTGCGAAAATATGTTATATATATATATATTGTCAGTACCGAAGCATTGACTACTGAGCTGATGAACCCCTCGGGATGATACTAGTACACATTTGTTGTAATGAGAATTACGTATTTAATTATGACGGATCCGTATCGTTATGTGGTTGACAATATCTATTAATGATAATCCAATGGCATATGTAAAATTGTATTCTTATCATTATCATGATTATCATGAATATCGGACGAAATTTCTACTTTTACTATTTGCAAACATATTATAAAATAAACATCTAACATTAGGTATATTGCTAAAATTTCAATTGACATCAAACGTACATTCATCTCATAGCAGCCGGTATTTATTTGTCTTAAGACATTGGTTATATTTCAATCTGAAACAGTACTTTAAAAACATCTTGTGTTTAACTTAATTTCTTTAGTATGTAAATTTTACTACAAAGCTGATCGCCCCAAACCTCCTACAAATGTGTCAGTAATTCCTTTGGAAAGACATCTAGCAGTATTATGGTGTCCTGAATATAACGGAGGAGAACCTCAGACGTTTTTCATAGAATATCAACAAGAAGCCGATGAAATGTGGAGACGGTCAGGACCTATAATTGATAACATGCAGGTTAGGATGTCAAATCTCCTGTATAACATGACTCCAAACACTCAATATTGTGTTCGGCTGTTGTCAAGAAATAAAATTGGTGAAAGCAAAAGGACGGCTGTCACTTGTGTAATGACTTTAGGTGAGTAATTTTGCAATATTGAGTGACTACATGATTATACTTATCATTCATTCCATGTATGCGTGATATGCACACTTTCTGAGTGCTTTTCATTCATGGTACTGCGTGTATGTGCAGGTAACCTTGAGAAGATATTACTTTGTGAGGATATAGGGGTTAATTGCGAGCGGCAAACACATTTAAAAAAATATTGAGTCAACTACTGATATGAGGCATAGAAAGAACATAACACAGGGTGGATCACAATTTATAAATCATAATGAGGGAGACAACGGTATAAACAAAAAACTACAGATCCACGAAACGGGTAGGTAACAGGTATGGCACTACTTGATTCATCTGTCATCTTGCTTGTAATATTTTGACATTCTGTCATTACTCGTGTTCAAACGAATGTCATCAATTGGCAGTCTATCACAAATTACACATTTATCTATAATATGATGTCGATATCCATTCAAAGTTAATCAACTCATAATTATTTTCCATACGACTAAGTATTAACAACATTTGCCTGTGTTTGTTCTTTAGTTAAATCTTGGCATCAGTGTGTATGGCTTTTGACTTATTGTGATCCTACTTACATGTGTAAATACTCGTTTAGGTTATACACGTTCTTAAGGGAAATATTGTAAATGTGTATGTTTTTATAAGAGGCATCATGGAAAACACAAAATATTGCAAAACATTTGTGTTTAACAGTTGATACAGATAGTTAATGCACGGTATCCATCTACGTTACGAAACTAGGTATGCAATGTAGTACTGTCGTAAATATATGCCACTATGTTTTGTGTGCTAAACTCCTTTATTATCATGTGTTTTTTAGTCGGAAACATTCAAAACTATTAGATTCGATTTCCTAAATTTGCAACATAAATATATGTTATACGAACACAATAGAGGAACAAATTCATGATGTCAAATCCCTTGGCTGAACTCAAATGTCTAACTCTGTTTTATGTTTGTTTGGAGGAGAAATTTAAACTTGACAATCTCGAATTAGTTGAAGATTCTATTCGGCTCTTTCTCAACTTACTAGTATCTTTTACTGTTAATCGTGTTGATACAATACCAGAATAGGTGACTAATCTGTGAATTTACCATTTGAGTCATATTCTAACGTGACTTTTTAACTAAGTCTGGAAACACTTTGGGACCCTCTGCCTTTTTTTCCAATATTTGATCTTTTCAATGATAATACATGAATATGGATAATACTTAGAAACATACTAGCTTTGTGAACCTCATATCATATACTTTTTTCTTTTATAAAACAAAGTTAAGAATGATAGTCGTGTACGTATGTGTACGATATTACAATCGTGGTATTATCCTTTTAATTTCATTCACGAACGCACCTTGTTTACTTTCTAAAAAATACACACAGGATTCCAAATTAAAGCACAGTGTTTCTCTGACTGTTTATGACGACTTTACACCAATTCAATTGGATGTTAACTGATTGTTATTTTTGTCTTTGATACATGACTGTTTTATTGGTTGTTATTGGCTTTGGACTAGGTGTCAGTAACCATGGTGACTGCGATTACTCTCATGTCGCTACTTTGTTACAAATTAAGAAATAGTAAAAAAAAATAGTTCTTTCCCTGTTCTACTTAATTCCATTAAAATCATTGGTTGTAATGAATTACCCTGATTTTCAAGTGAAGTAAAAACCGATAATTTCACATGTGAATTAAATGCGATAATTTCACTCCTTTGACGTCATACAACAATGGGTGTTATCAAGACGATATCGATGACGTTGCATCAACACAAATTAAGAAATAGTAGAAAAAATAGTTCCTTCCCTTTTCTACTTTATTTCCATTAAAAACTCCATGGTTAATGTAATAAAAAGAATAACTAATACAACAATTAAAATATCGAAAAATATTCAACTCGTGAACGAACAACACTGATAATTAACTCATGCTCTACGTGCATTCGCAAATCAATGTGTTGTTTGGTTACTCGTTAAATATTGTTTCTATATTTGAGTTGTTGGATTAGTTATTCTACATTTGTTCTATGAATATCTTTATTTGATACGACGAGTTAAATTATGTAGTGTTTTCGTATAATAAAATAACATAACAATTGAGCCGCAATAAAAGTATTAATAAATAGTTCAGAACTTCAAAACAATCATTCACACACACACACATACATGTTGACTCGCTCTATTAACTACTCACACTTGAATGTCATTTAAACACAAACCGTAACCGTCAATTCGTGATTCATTCAGAAAACATTTGCCACCATCATATGACGCATTAACAAAACAGCTGATTCTGGTTGTTACTATAACTTCTTTTACTGAATATATTTAAATCACCATTTCAATCTACCGTAAACAATCGTATGGTGAAATTACTAACAAATATTATTTGTTATGTATTCAGTGAAATGAAATATTTACTATACGCATGCCTCGATGACACATTTCAAATATGACATAATTAAGGTTGTTTTTTTTCAGAACTTTCAAAAAAAAAAAATATCTAAGTTACGTAATATGCTGGCTTTTTAGCATAGAGCACGTGCTTATAGCAAGAAAAATATGTTTTGCGAGTTTATAGATAACTACATAATCCATGTCCATGGCGAATATTTTCTTGGCCGACCGGTGTCATACCAAATTATATGCCTGGTATCTGTGATGATTTTTCTCTACATTATTGTTGCAAATGTATGAGCAATGTAGTCAAAATTTGCTTACGTTCACTATTTAAATGAACGAATGGCTGCCCTTTTTTTAAAGCAGTGACTTATATGAATCAAGTATAGCAAATTTGTCATCACTAATCGATTCCGGTACTTATAAATCTTCTCTAAACATGCTTTAATCCTTTTCTCGTTCTAAATAAGTTGAACACTACCTTCTATTGGTTAAGCGTTTGGTTATTTGCTACTCAAACTCATTTTTTTTCAAATGATTATAATTATGCTGTATTGATTAGGTTCAACTTCAACATGCCCAAAGGCAAAAGTGCAGGGAACAATTATAATGAATGGAAAAACAGTAGTACGCGGAGTCGACGGAAATAATCTCACTATCGTCTGTAATGTCAAAAGTGATAAACCAGCAGAAAAGTTCGTTATGCGTATAAAAGGATTACAACTTAAGAGAGCTGGAAGTGGAAATTTAACGTTTTCCTTCATACCATCAAAATTAGACAACATGCAATCATTTGGATGTTCTGTCTACAATGTATTTATAGCTAATCCACGGTCTTGTGAAGTATTGTTGGATATTCAGTGTAAGTAAAGAATTTAGATATTGACGTTATACCGTTTGCACCAAGGACAAATTGAAAACGATTTTACCTCATGCATAGTGACTTTCTTCCATAATTTTCATAATTTGGTTTCCAATGTTATTACTTTAATTTTGCACACTATTTATCCACATGTGTACATACATTATTTACAAAATCTTTTCAGATTCTGTTTAAACGGGATTTTGTTCAATCAAATGTTGTTAACGAAGGTTAATTTAAAACAAATCTATAAAACCTAAATAAAAATAATCTAGCGGTCTACTATATCAACCAATGGAAAAAAAGCTGATTTGGTAGAGACATTTACTGAAGAAACTGAAACATGAACGCTTTACGAAAGAAAGAAAAAAGGGTCACATTAACAACAATACAGTGTTTTTACAAAAAGCAAAAACAAAAATATTTAAGATAAAAACGGTTAGTTAAGAACTTCAAAGCACCTACCTATCATTCGACCATATACATGTTGATAAATATTTTTTTTATCGAGTAAAGCCATTTCAATTGATATTTTATAGTGTGTCTTTTTATGTTGTAATGTCACACTACTGTATCAGGTAAGGGTGGAGGTTTGCGCCTGATAAAACGTTTAAACCCGGTGCATTTTTATGCACCTGTCCTAAGTCAGGATTCTGTTGTTCAGTGGTTGTCGTTTTTTGGTGTGGTTCATAAGTGTTTCTCGTTTCTGACTTTTTATATAGATTAGACCGTTGGTTTTCCTGTTTGAATTGTTTTACGCTAGTCATTTTGGGGCCCTTTATAGCTTGCTGTTCGATGTGAGCTAAGGATCCTTGTTGAAAGCCGTACTTTGAACTATAATTGTCAAATTATCTGTCCTTCCGATTTTGGGCAGCAGTAAACAAAAAAGTATTAACAAAAAAAATCGATCTCCAAAGTAATTTCAAATGCGGGAAGTCCATAAAACCTGACAAAATCAAACATAAAATATATCAACGAACGGATCGATCCGAAAACAAATTTTATATTCCTGATTTAGTATAGGTCGCATTGTGCAGTTTCCAGTAGGTTTTATATGTATGATATAGGTCGTCTGCAAAAAGGTTTAATTGTCAAATTACTTACAACTATTGTTTTCAGTAGCGTAAATGATAGTTCTTATAAAAATGAGTCCCTGATTGACCATTCCGTGTTTGTCATTCATACTGTTTCCTGAAGTTTTTCAAGCGAGAACTTATTACTATTTGTAAATTGTTTGCGTGTAATAATGATTAATGTTTTTTCTTGTCGCATGTATACATGGTATACATGTATATGCAAATGGTCTCATGATACAAACACTGCAATCAATAACTTTTAGTCATGAACTGCAGAGATACTATGACCGACAGAAAGTTGACAAACACATATGTTCACAGAAAGACAAGAATTTCAAGCATTTCATTCAATAAATATATAAGTAACACAATTTTGAAAGGCTAAGATTAGGTTTTATTTTATTCTATGAGGTATTGGAAAAGCTATATAATCTTTGGTATATAAAAGGGAAATAGAAAGCTATATCTTTCCATTTAATGACGAGGTTTACATTTATCATCTTTATAAAGTATACCACTTTTTTTTATAAATACTGTCAAATGGATATTTACAACATAACCAATGATTTGTGTTTTGTTCCACAGTTTCACCAGTTGCAAGAATAATAAAGGAAGCATCTAAGAAAATGCAAAAACTTATCTGCAATCCAAACGGAAATCCTGAAAATTATACTTTTGCCGATTGGGAGCACTGGTCTGAATTCAATGAACATATTCGAAATGTTCAAGGGACACCTGACGGTACATTAACTTTGCTGGAATCCAACAATAACAACAAGTTACATGAAAATGATGGCATTTACAAATGCAGAACTTCCAACGGTATATACGGCACAAATGGAAACCTATACCAGAAAGGAACAGCTCTCATAAATGATAGAGGTAATACGTTAATATCAATTTTTCATATGTACCAAACGAATTAATATTTTTAATTAATTTCATTTTAGTTCCACCGATATTTGTGAATGCAAATAAACCAATCCAGTTTGGTAGTTACGGTCAGAAGATGAATTTGACAGTACATTTATACAATAAGTATGGCACAATACAAACGACTATATCAAAACTAAACGAGACTTTGAATATACATGGAAGACAGGAGAGGATTCTAACACAAGACGTGTTCCATGGTGTAAACGTTACAGTATCAGGTATAAAGATAACATTCCAACTGACACTGGATAAAATAGAAGATTTAACAGAATATACAACGAAAGCGTGCAACGAAAAGGGGTGTAATGATTTAACGGTGAAGATAAAATTAACATGTAAGTTGATTAGCAAATACCCGTATACGATAAAACTTTAATCATTTCTAAGAATAATGTTTGACCATGTGACCGCTGAAAGAACCAATATCAGAAATATAATAGATAAAATTGAGAATGGAAATGGGGAATGTGTCAAAGAGACAACAACCCGACCATAGAACAGATAACAGCAGAAGGTCACCAACAGGTCTTCAATGCAGCAAGAAATTCCCGCACCCGGAGGCGTCCTTCAGCTGGCCCCTAAACAAATATATATACTAGTTCAGTGATAATGAACGCTATACTAAACTCCAAATTGTACACAAGAAACTAAAATAAAAATAATACAAGACTAACAAAGGCTAGATGCTCCTGACTTGGGACAGGCGCAAAAATGCGGCGGGGTTAAACATGTTTATGAGATCTCAACCCTCCCCCTATACATCTAGCCAATGTAGAAAAGTAAACGCATAACAATACGCACATTAAAATTCAGTTCAAGATAAGTCCGAACAATATCGTAGAACATGTTTTCCGGTAATAATAGACGTTTTTGTCGTCACAGCAGACATCGTATAAACATTTGTTTTCATCTTGAATATATATTACTCTTCTAAAAGTGTCTGTTTACCAAATTCCGGCATGTCGAGGAATTTAAGTATCCTTCTGAACGGAATACAATACATATAAGTTATACTACGAAGGTGTTTATTTTGGTAGATTAAACAAAATGATTTTTTTTCCAAACTGGTGTCTAGTTTTAGTCAAATGATGCTACTTTACAACCAAATGTGGCAAATAAAACATATTTTGCCATAATAAAATCGGTTTAGCATATACAACTCTCAATCTTAACCCTTGTTATTATTTTTAAGACTAACAATAATGATAAAAATCCAATGGCTAGCTTTATATCATATCGAAATTGAACAACTCAAGCAATATCAAAATCTCACTTTACCATTCCACATATGCTATTTTAAAAAAGGCAAGGATATGCTGTTGTGATATAAGCCTTTGTACTTTATGTTTACTGTGTAAGCTTAATATTTATTATGTTTCACATTGTTGTGCGCAGAATTACGTACTTGATAATGATGGCATTGTTACGTTGTCAACCATGTTAATAATTGATACTCGATCAACATCTGTCATAAATATTAAACGCCATTACTTAATAACATCTTAGGTATATGTCTGAAGAACATTACACACTTGTAGCGATATAAATTGGACTTAACTCGTTGGTTACGTTTTGACACTGATACTGTTAAATTATTCAACGTTTAGTCAAACTTCTTAAGTAACTTAATTTTCCTACAAAACAGATCCCCCTGAGCCTCCCACAGATGTGTCAGTAGTTTTTCGTAAAGGGAATCTGGAAGTATCGTGGTATCCAGGATATAACGGAGGTCTCCCACAGAAATGTTTCGTAGAATATCAATCAGAAGACGAGGACATATGGAGACGTTCAGTACCTGTAATTGATAAAAAGGAGATAAGGATGTCTAAAATCCTGTATGACATAGTTCCAATAAATACTCGATATTACGTTCGGGTAGTGTCCAAAAATGAAATTGGAGAAAGTAATGCAACGAATGTGATAATTTTAGGTGAGCATTGATCTCAACCTTGTTATTATTTTTATACTACCATCAATAATAAAAGCAATACAACGGCTAGTATTTTAATTTATCGAACTAAACAATCAAGCAATATCAAAATCTCACTCTAACTTTTAAGATACGCTGTTTTTTTAAATTTACGGTAACCTTATCTTTGGCATTGTGTTATAAGACTTTATATTTCATATTTACTATGTAAACTGAATAGTTTAATGTTCTAAATTTACATTGTGGTACGCAGAATTAGGTACTTGATAAAGACGGGATTTTTACGTTGTCAACAATGTTCATAAGCGATAATCCAGCAGCATATGTCATAAATATTGAACGCCATTACCTAAAAAAATCTAAGATATATGGCTAAAACTTTACACACTTGTAGCGATATAAATTGGACTAAACTCGTTGGTTACGTTTTGAAACTGATACTTTAAAATAATCTAACGTTTGGTCAGACTTTTACCGATAAAACCATGTTTTCTTATAAATTACTGTTTAATTTGTCTTCACACATGATACTATGTGTATATGGAGAGCACATTGAAACAGGTTTGTGTTTGCGTGTGTTTTTATAAGGAGGAGGGTATAAGAAAATTGAAACGACGTTCAGAAAATTGCAGATACGAAGGAAAATGTTTCTTTAGAAATTTTCACATTAACTGGATCGTTATATTCAAATCTTATCCCGAGCGTTAGCGGGTAATAGAATTAAAGAATATAACGTTCCCGAAAATTTGAAAATGATTACAAATCCATGGCTTGCATGAATTATTTCGATTCTAATAGTGAAATTAAGGTTTTTTAAAAAACTGAAGCGAGACTATGTTTGCCGTGTGTGTGGCTGTTTTCTCTTACTCCCTGTTACATTAAGCTATAGCTGGCAGGAATTATTTCTGAAATAACCTCCAGAAAAAAATATGTGTTAAATCTTTTTGATTCTGAAACCCAACATTTGAAAATTTTAATTGACAATTTTATTTCGGAAGCTACTGTCATCTCCACAGTTCACCATGTTGACTTGCTGAAATATAAATGTGCGAATAATGCAATGAAATAGAATATTAAACAACGTCTACCTCAAACCATCATTCTAATGCGACATATTGAGAAATTTGACGTAACTAAATAACCTTCAGCTTGAGAGTTTTTATTCGTATGACGTCTTGTTTTGCCATAACATTAATGCGGCAAAATCATTAATGGAATTCGCGTATTTTTTTTTTTAATCTTAATTTTATACATTTTTCCAAAGCTCTAATGCATTAATACTTTTTGTTATGTATTAAAATAGAAATGTCCGCTCTTTTCTTTTAGTTTCTATTTCAATTTTAACGCCGCGAAATCGACAAAGTGCTTGCACATGTGTTACGATACATGTGTATTTACGTGGGAGATTAATTTTAAGAGCCCTTAATATGTATTTTTTATTCTCTAATTCGGCGTTATGTATAGATATATAGGGAATTTTATTACACTGATGTTTACAAAGCTTAAAAAAGGACGGCATATCAGAGTGTGCAATACATTTAATTTTTAGATAACAATTTTGCCTTCAAAATGGGTTTCTATGAACATAAAGAGATTTTTTTTGCATACTTTAAGGCAATTTTTCTGTTTGACTGTCCGTATGTTTGCATCCTTACCGGACAGAAATCATTGTTATATTTTTAAACAAATTCTTTTAGCTAGAACTTTTTAATCCAAACTTATAAAAAATGAGGTGAAAGGCATATGCTTTTTGTTTGATCTATTAATAGATAAATGTCAATTGTTTCAGAAAAGTTTGCTCTCAAATTGATTAAAATTCTACTTTGGACCAACATTTGGGGACATTTGTGACATTTGTTTTTGTAACCCCTCTGTTTTGAAATATTTTGTATCAAATAAATGCAGATAGTTTCCATTACTACACCAATACGAGATTATGTTTCACAATTTTAACTATTCGAAATCAAATCTATAAAAGATGTTGTTTCCATACATATTCACATACATGACACATACAGTGAGCTTAATTTTCTAGAAGTAAAGGAATAAGGGTGGTTTAAAATTATGAGTATTGCTACCTTATGGAATTAGAAAAAGCACATGCTTGCTTATTTAAAGACAATTTAGTGATACCGCAACTCTGTTGATTTTTAGATTCTAAATCAAATTCTGAATTGGGGAAATCTTTTAGGTAGAAATACGTATTTACTTGTTTACTGTCCTAATCAACCAAATACAACCATTTTGACACAAAGACTTGTTTCAGTCTTAAATTTATCTTCCATTGCTTACAACTTTTAACGGAATGATTACGCTTTATGTAAAATCTCAGTATGGAACGCTTTATATTTTTTTCATGCAAATGAATTAAAGTTCAATTTTTTTGCAAGGCATAATGTTACATTTTGGCATAAATTAAGTTAATTGTCCCCTCTGTTATAAATTGGTTCACTCTTTCAAACCAAGGCTTTGGTGAACTATTTTGTACATAAATCAGGTCGTTAGTTTTCTCGTTTGAATTGTTTTACATTTGTAATTTCGGGACCTTTTATAGCTAACTATGCTGTATGTGTTTTACTCATTTTTGAAGGCCGTACGGTGACCTATAGTTTATTTCTGTGACATCTGGTCTCTTGTTGAGAGTTGTCTCATTGGCAATCATACCTCATCTTCTTATTTTTATATTAACACATCAAAATTGTCATTCTAGTGCTTTAAAGGAGCTACATCGTGTACAATCTATCGACTGAAAAGGTTATTTAAAGATTCCAAATATGAAAAGACAGAAACAAGATGACAAATGTTAGAAATTTAACCAAAAAAGGCGATTTTTGGTTTGAATTTGTATGATTCTTCAAATTACTTTTTATCGCATTTTAGCGATAACTGCTAACCTTCATTGATATTTATAACTGAACCAATTTTCGAAAGAGACCAATTTACTTGTTGTAGCTAACAGAGCACGCAACATTATCTAAAATGGAAATTAGCAAAAAAAAATGTTTCGTTTTAAAGTAGCAAATCAAAGTTAAGTTTCGCATTTTGGTCCTAGTGAATTTTATTGTGTAATAAAATTAAGTTTTTGGTTGCTAAAGAATAATGCAGCCTTTAAAATGGAGTCATAAGACTATGAAGACTGTTTTGCATGCATTACAGTCGAGAAAGTATTGTAATATTTTCCAACAATTTGTTTTCTCTCGAACTTTTCAATCTAAATTTATGAAAGGATGAGGAGAAATGCTTATGATTTTTGTTTGATCTCTTGATAGATAAATGTCAATGTTTCAAAAAAAGGTATCTCTCAAATGGATTGAAGTTCTACTATGGACTTAATGACATTTTAAGCCCCCCGCCTCCGCTTCTTTTTCAATATTTTGTATCAAATAAATGCAGATAGTTGCCATG